AAGTCAAGGATACCTAAAAAAGTGATAGCTCTAGGAAATTTATAGCAGAGAAACAAAGAAAAGCAACGAACGGCCCTTTTGTGGAAAGGATCGCACGAGCCCGCACCGACAAAGGGAAGAAAGTTTCAGGCCAAATGGTTGAAACCAGGGTCAAAAGACCTCCGAAGGACAAAAGGCAATGTTAGAAGTATAGGTCCATCCGGACCCTGCCATGGATGACAACCGAGAGGGACATGGACCGGAAGGGAGTGGAAACAGAAGATTGGCGAGTGAATCTACTTCGGTAGAATAAGGCCAAGATTTTGCCACTTCCACCGGGACTCTAGACCGAGAAGAGATGTCGGCACTGCCCGACATCTCTACTGAAAACGTGGCTGCTACAAGATCACCCACAGACAACACTATGATGCATGGTGTGACGAAGAAACCGGGTACGACCTCCTCGTTTTCAGAAAGAGTGAAAAACAATTTGGGAAATTTCTTTCCATTTACCATGGGAGCGGGTACATGGTAAATGGGAGCGATGAAGCAGAAACCCAGGAAGAGGAGGAGGACGACGACGAACAAGATGACTTCGGATCTCAAGTCAGCCTCAATAGTTCGACTCAGGAAAACGATGCATACACCGATAGAGAAATTGGCTCTATGGACCAATTTGGTAAAGTCAGGACCTTAACCAAGACCACAAAGAGATCAGGCCAGTCAGGAGACTTTGTGAGTATGAGGAATTCGGAAATGCGAACTGGGAAGAACAAAAATACAGGGCTATGTAACCCACCTGCGGATCCAGGAGTGGATAATGAAGAGACGTCGAGACAGAGAATCAATACCCGAGTCTCGACCAGCACCAAGCTACCTGGAATCGATAGGGTGACACCACCACTTGTGATGCCATTAGTGGACAACGGAGCATCAATCGAAGAAGCCTGACCAACATAGTGGGCAGCATAGGAGAACAAAACGAACAGATGTCCTTAAGATTGAGTGAACTAGAGAGAGCAGTTCACGTCGAGAGAGAAAGCCTGCGGGAAGAGATCAACCGCAACAGACAAGAAGTCAGCAGAAGTGAAAAACGCTTGAAGGAGAGAACGGATGAACACTTGGTCAAACACTTGTCACGAATGGCAAGGGAAGCTGAGCAGAGAGAGTTACGATTGAGAGATGACTGGGCGAAGTTGAGAGTTCAACAAGAGCAGACTCTTGGGACTCTTGACACGAAGATAGACGCGATGATGGAGAGGCGAACTCAGGCTAACATGAATAGGTTGGATGGGCTACTAAGCAGCAGGAGTGGATCGAAGAATGGGGAACCGAACTCAGGAGAACCCAGCAGGGAGCCGAGAGTGAATTTCAATGAACAACCCAATAGGAGAAGGACATATCGATCCACTAGAGGAAGAGGCAGTTCATCCAGCTATGCCACAGGGGACAATAGGCCACGGGGCCCAAACATCAGAAAAATTTCGACTGGCAACAGACCGACCTCAAATGAACGACCGACGCAAGACACACATGCGACTGGGAGATGGGATTCCAGGAACTGGAGTCAAGCGAATCATAGAAGAAGTCATCCCAGCGATTCGGACAGAAGAGAAAATCCAGGGCCTCTATCAGGGGGCAATGATGCTCAAGCGGGGCATTCAAGGGACGCGGCATCAATAGCCACAGCCTTTGAACCTCTGAACAGGTCCTTGAAAACGTCCCTTACGAGGTTATTGAAAACCAGTGAACGCAGTGAAAAGTCCAGAAGGGTTTTTAAGAAACCAAGACGCTAAAAACAGGAATCTGATGGCTGTATTGATACCTGGATAGACGTGATGAAACTGCATTTTGAAGAGGAGGACTTGAAAGAAAGACAAGAATGCAGTGCGGTCACCAGCAACCTGGAAGGGACAGCCCTAAACTGCGTGATGGCCATAAAGCAATACCAGCGGGATACAGCTGAGAAAATCTTTGAAATCTTGTTAAATCGTTTTGGCTCAGGAGTATGAGAACTCAAAGCGATGATGCGCTTCGAGAAACGGAGGCAACGTGAACACGAGAAGATAGACATGTTTCTAGTTGATTTGGAGATGTTTAGAAGGCGTAGCCAACCAGATAAGTCAAACAGAAGGGTGAACCTGGCAGTAGCCTCAAAATTCATCGATGGCGTGAAAAATGCGCCAACACCAGAGGAGTTGAGACTCAAGTCAAAGGATTATCTTTTACTAAAACCCCCATTGAGATCTGGCTATTACAAAATTAATTATGGCAAAAACAATTATAGCTAACCAGGGTAACAATTGGTACAAACCAAGGGACAATATGGACAAGAGACGCTCTTGTGCAAATTGCAGTTCGACGGACCATCATGTGTCAGCATGCCCAACCGACAAACAAGGCATGAAAGCAATAGGCTTTAGCCTCGAGGATGAAGATGCATCAGAGGTCGATCATGAAGGTTTCATGAGGGGAGTAATTGCGAAATTCGGCCCAAGGTGTTTCTTTTGTAACTTAGAAGGTCATTTTAAATCGGATTATCCACAATTCTGGGATGCTGTGGCGGACATCAAGCATCCAAGGCATGAGGAAGCTTTAACGGGTGTGAAAGCCAGCAAGGCTCGCCTGTTGAGTGAAGCCGAGGCACGCAGAAAGGGAAAACCGCAAGAGCTGGCAACAGAGAAGATGCAGGCAGTAACGGAAGAGATAAGTGAACCGGAACCGTTGACTGCGGCAGATGACTTCAAGATCGACTATAGGGCAGGCGCGAGGGATGCTCTAAACAGAGTCCAGCAAGAGTTGGTGACGAAGGAGATCGAACAAAAAGAGAAGTTCGAACTAGAGAATGAGAAAATTCAGGAGAAGCTTAACGCCTTCGAGGCATCATATGTCAAAGAAACGAAAGCACCAAGCAGTTTGAGCATGAAACTAAACGTGATCTCTGGGCAGACGTACGGAACGGTGCCACAAGGAAGCAGAACACAGTCAATAATTTCAGTTGCGGGACATCAGGTGATCAGGAACATAAGTGAGCCCTCAGAGTTCACTATGATGCATTTAGACACATATGCAGATTATCTGACACAGGTGGAGCCAAGCACTGAGTCGATGGCTGTGCGAGCGTTGTTGACAACGGATGACCCTCGAACAAAGAAACTCCACGGACGCTACGTGGAAGTCTACGGACCTTAACAAAACGTTGAACGTTGACGGGATAAGTATCTACACTAGGACTTACGTCACAACAGATAGTGACCAAATGGGGCAGATCTATTTGGGTCAGGAAGAACTTAAGGTCCGCAGAATCGGCCATGATGCCATGATGCCATGATGGAGCAAGATGCAGTACTTATAGGGTACGAGGCATTTATGACTGCACATCTACTAGACACCAATGGGAAGAAAATTGGAGTAACAGGACTACTGGATACAGAAGCAGTGGTAAGCGTGATGCCAATAAAGACTTGGGAAAGAATGGGCTTCACGAGGGAAGATCTAAATCCAAAGAACCTCAGATTGGCAGCCGCCAACCGCGGAGTAATCTACCTGGCCGGAAGGACACCAATAACGGTCCTTCACATGGGAGGACGCGATCTTTGGATGAGCTTCCTGGTGGTGAGAACTAAGACGACCCAGACCAATTCATCTTGGGCCGTGATCTTGTCCGGAATTTCGATATGATGATTGACTTGAACAACGGCCTAATAAGGATTAGAAACCCGCACCGGAAGTATGTTAAGAAACCAGTTAATAGGATAATAATTGAGAAAACAAGGTACCAATTTTTTTAGATAGAAAGGTAAAATTTTAGCCGGGACAAGCTGTAATTGCAATTTTTAGGATTAGAAAATCTTTAAGTGATAGTAAACAGGTTTGTCTGGTACCCAACCCAAGTAGTCAAAACTCGGTGAGTTTAAGACGGAGCTTTTCAGTAACACGAAGCGGGCTGTGTGCCAGTGTGTTGATGAACAGACTGGACACCATGGTTACGATCCAGCGTGGAAAGAATCTTGGCTACGCACTGCCAATGAAAACCGACTATGAAGATACACAAAACTTGAAGAGATATAATGTGAAAGACTGCCCAAATCATGCGGATAAGGATAAAATTTTAAAGAGAATTGATGAATATGAATCTGTCATTAAACTGTTTTCAATGAAATCTGAAACGAATAATCGCTTGTCCAGCTAAGCGATTTTTCTGGAACACCCCTCGTCATATGAACTAGACTCCGACAAAACGGTTTTGGCGGAGATAGAACACTTGAGAAGGAAAATAGGCAAGGGAGATTTTGAATCATTAAGGGCGGTTTTAAATCGGAATGCGGACGTATTTTCAAAACATAAGGCCGACATCGGTTGCTGCAACTTCGTCGAACACGAAATAGAAACAGAGGAAGGCGCCATTCCTCATAGGGAAGGCGCAAGGCGAATGATGCCTCATAAATCGGAAGCGTGCCGATCAGAAATAGAAATGTTGCTCGAATACGACATGATAGAACCCTCAAAATCGCCTTGATCTTGCGGGGTAGTCATGGTCAAGAAGAAAGGGGGCAGTTTAAGTTCTGTTGCGACTTTCGTTACCTGAACGAAGTGACAATAAAAGATGCGTACCCGATACCGCGAATAGACGAGAGCCTCTCTAAACTTGGTGATGCCAAGTTTTCCACCACATTGGACTTGGGTTCTGCCTTCTGGCAGGTCCCTTTGCGTAAGAAGGATAGAGATAAGACCGGAATCGCATGCGAGTTGGGATTGTACCAGTGGAAGAGGATGCCCCTCGGCTTGTGCAACGCAACGGCCACTTTCAAAGACTGATGGCTCAGGCTTTGACCAGAGTACCTAAAAAGTACGGCACTCTTGTGATGTGTAACGTGGATGACGTGGTCATAGCAACACCCACCTTGGAAGACCACATTGATTGGCTCAATGAGGTCTTTGTTTGCATGATCAGCGCAGGCTTGAAATGCAAACCCTCGAAATGTGAAATCCTTAAGGATTCAATCAAGTATCTGTGAAGAATGGTGGACGTGTATGGCGTAAGGCCGGACCCGGAAGCAGTAGAGGTTGTGTTGACATGGAAGGCTCCAAGAACGGACACACAACTCATGAGCAATTATAACCGTGAGTTCGTAAAAGGATACACAGACAAGGTGTACCCCATGCAGAAACTGATGCGCAACAAAGGAAAAAAGTTCGAATGGAACGAAGAAGCTCATGCTGCCTTCGAGAAGATGAAGCAGGAACTGTGCGAAGCGCCAGTACTAGGCATGCCTACAGAGAAAGGCATGTATGTTCTTGACACAGATGCATCAGTAGTGGCCATCTCAGGAATACTGCATCAGGAGCAGGAGTGGAATGGGAGAACAGTTCTCCGTCCCATTGCATATGGCAGTAAAGTGGTGAGGGACACTGAAATGAAAAATGGTGCACCAAAGCCAAAAACTTTTGCAGTGATCGCATTCGTGGAGAGGTACCGCGCATACTTAGGAAGCGCTCCCTTTAAGCTACGAGTGGACAACAGAGCGTTATCCTGGTTGAAGACGTTCTCGATGGACCAGAGCTATATTTTCGGTGGTTAGTCAGGCTAGACGGCTACCACATGATAATCGAGCACAGGATGCGTGACAAATTACGAGTGCTGACAGCCTCAGCAATAAGACTGGGTTTTATGAAAGACTAGAACAGAAGCAAGCCAATCAGTCAGGCGGAAATCAAGGAAGGGTTCTCGTTTCTGAACAAAGAAACTTATTAGGCGCTTCCCTTTACGAGATGGTTGGACAAATCTGGACATCCAAGTCCGGGACACCCTGAGTTACCGGTGGAAAAGGCAGCAGAAATAAGATCTTAACAAAGAAGGACCCGCCCGGTGCCTTTGGATCTGTTGCTATGTTCGAACCTGGTCCAACAGGAACTCTCACGTATGAACATAAACAGCCTCTCATTGCTGGATAAAAGGGTGCAGGTCACACGGCAAGTGATGCAAATGCTGGGTGAATTTTTGGAGAGAGAAGTGACTGGAGATGACCCCGAGTGGGCAGCAGCCATGGCATCGCTAACGGTTAGTGAGAAAATAAAGATTAAGCCATCAAGACGACAACACAAGGAAAATGAAAGGGATTGTAGGACAATAGTTCAGCAACTAGTGTCCCCGATACCCCAAAACGTCTTGACAAGTACATCATCAAACGAAAAGAACAGGTGAAAGGGACACAAAGGAAAACCGTCACCTTTGAGGATCAGGATCAGAAAGGCGAAGAGGTTGAGCAAAACCTGGGGCAAGAAAGTTTGTCCTGGGAGAAGGATGTTGATGAGAACAGGCGAGTTTATCAGCAAGACCCGGGACAAGAAAGTTTGTCCGCGGAGTCAGGTGTAGAGGAAAATGTTTAAGGTGAGGAACAAGGCCTGGAGGATAAAATTTTGTTCGGGGAGTTCAGATGGATGAGCAGAGCGCATAAAACTGACCACGAAGAAGAAACATGCTCAATGGCAGATTCCTCCATTGATGACAACTCAGGAATTCAGGAATTGACACCTATTCAGACAGGAACTCGACCACGCGATTGGAATTGTCAGAGCTAGCGATCCGCACATTACTAGTGGAGACTCGAGCAACAGACTTGGATAGAGAGGTATATCAAGACCCTGACAGTGATCGCTACCTGCTACGTAGCGAAAAAATCTTTGACAACGCAGCTGATGATCTAGAAACAATAGCGGTATCGAAACGATCGATGAGTTTGTTGCCACAGAAAGAAGTAGTGAGGACTGATCTTCAACCCTTCAGGCAAGAGACAGAACCATTGGCGAAAATTTGTTGCGTGAAGATGGAAGATGACACGCAACAGCCCGATGAAACAAATAGTCATTTGAGGGTCATGAAGACGTACTTGAAGGCGAGATACAGACACTCAGACCTACTAAAGGGACAAAGAAAAGACCGCATGACGAGTAACTTGAAAAGGCGGATCGAAATTGGAACACCAGACAAAGGTGACCTGGAGGAAGACAGTTACCGTATTCTGAGACAGTACTTTATGCAAAAAGAAGGAAGGTTATATCTGAACAAGGAGGGGATTGTGGCTTGTAAGAGAAAAGAAGAAGACAAAGTCCTGTACAAATACAACGCGATAGTGTTGCCGCAACTCTATCAGACAGAATTTTTTGTTCAGCTCGCAGGACCAGATGGGCCATCAGGGAATCGACAAAGTATACCAGAGGATCCTGAAGAAGCACTTTGAGTGGCCTGGGATGAAGAAGGCATGCGAGAAGTGGGTAACCGCATGTATGTCATGTCAACAGGTCAAGGATCCAAGGGAATTGCGATTTCCCTTGCAGTCGATTGATCCATCTGAATTCAACGAGGTCGTGCAGATTGGCCACCAGAAAATACTTATGACAGACAGTGGCTATAATCAGGTCTTGGTCATGATAGACCGCTTCACGAAGTATGCAGAGGCCTTACCCTGCATAACTGCATCAGCAGAAGAGACGTGCGATCATCTAATCAATACGTGGATAGCGAGACATGGTTGTCCGATGACGTTTAAATCGGCTAATGGAACAGCTTTCGTGGGAAAACTTACAAAAGAGCTCATTGGACGCTCACAGGTGGCTCAAGCTCTTTCCACGACATACCATCCCCAGACGAATGGCTTAGTGGAAAGACAAAATCGGACGATTGTTCCAGGTAAATGACCGATTGGGACAGATACCTTCCACAGAAGATGGGAGCTTACAACAGCACGCAATACTCCACCACCGGAGTTAGTCCACATAAGAAAACATAGTCTACGTAAGGGATGTGATTAGACATCAACAAGAACTAAACGACTTGTGTAGACGGAACACTCAGCAGGCACAGTCAAGGCAGAGGAAAAGGTTCGATAAAAAGGCAGCTGGTGCAAAAGCTTACTTGGTAGGAGACTACGTATGGGTATTTCAAAACGTTATACCACCGAAAGGAACGAAAAAGCGCCTAAAGAAATGGAGGGGACCCTTCATGATTAAACAAGTGCACCAGGAGGGACGTTTTCATAGACTGAGTACTGGCCGAGCCGATCATTACGAAAACATTAAGTCACACAAACCATGAAGACGTCCCAAACCAGATGAAGAAACCTTACCCTAGGTAGAAAAGGACTGGCAAGACCCCGAACAGATGGAGGTCCCCAAAAATTTGGAACCAGATCTTCCGTTTACAACACAGACTCGACAAAGTGACAGGACAAGGCTCACGAAGAAATACAATCCTTACGGAGATGACTTCGTAGTGGACAGAATAGATCTGAAGAAGATAGTGGAAGAATTGGTGGTTTAGAAGAAATAACCGTGTCACAGGACACCGACATAGTCGATGACCAAAACGAGGAGTGGATCGATGACCGGTCTAAAGCTGAGGTAGAATTCGACAACGAGCAACAGCGATCTTACGAACATGACTTGACGAAATTGCGTGCCTTGAAATGGCTGAATGAATTGACGTCGGACCCGAAGGAGGCCAGTGTCACGATTCAAGATGTAGACCGAGATAGCATGAAATACATAAAAATTGAAAGGGATTATACTTCCTGGGGCTGCCCAGGAAGGGCAATTACTCATTCCTGCATCCAACCTCGATTTAATATCCGGTATGCAATTGACGGGGACCTCGATGGATATTTTTGTCCGGGGAGTGGGGGTAGAACTTAACCACACTCGAAAAATTATTGATAAAAAAATTAAGAATAACAAGAGAGACAGGTGATCTAGAAGCAGAAACAGACGATGATCCTAAGAAACCGGACATAGGGAGAGTAGTCGAGTCATCTTTTAACTTGCCAAATGAGTACTCAAATAGCATTATATTGACATATAATAATTTTATACTTACAAATAGGACATGTGCGATAGCGATCACAGCGGACATGAGTTGTAGGACAGCGTTAGCAGCGGATTTTCAGAGAGATTATAAAAACATAGAATTCCTCTGGAAGCGAAGACCAGGAATAGGAGGCATAGTAGCCTTGCCCCCAGCGGCATCGCAGATACCGGGAAAGTATTTATGCTTCTTGGTGACGAGGGCGACGGAGAAGCGGCATCTGGACCCGGAAAACCTTGTCTTGTCCTTGACGAGACTGGGAGACTTTCTTGAGGCAGTATACGACCCGAACCGAGGACGACTGAGTCCACGGGAATAAATTTACAAGGAGTCACTGATACACGTAATCTTTTCGGACACTTACATACAAGTATACTTACATAAGAAATTTTATTTGAGTATAGGCTGAGTTTAGGTTGCATGCAGGAAAGTGTCATAAATGTGATGTGTGTTATTTCATTAAGACCCTGGATACAAATGATTAGTGACCATGAATAACCGAATGACAATCTTAGGAGTAGATCCAAAGTTTGGAGTGTCCATTCTTAGGTCGAATTCCAAAACTTTAGCGATAACTCGATTTTAATATATTTCAAGATCAAAATCTTTTTATCTGACTGTTTTAAAAAATTTTTAATAAAAAATTAGAACAATGCAGACAATTTTGATATTCGTGACTTCTTTTCTATATCCTTATTGATCGTTTAATCGTTCATCAAATTTCAATTGACACAAACTGATAATAAAAATGAATTTAATGAGATGGACAAATTCGATTTGAATGAATTGATGGACAAGCGGAGGCATATGTGGGACCGATGATAGATGCGATCTATCGTCGGCTGATGGATCGAGACTTCGCTAGTCATAGATCGAGACGTGGTAGTCATTTTGCTGGTCGCCTTAATAAACATCTTAGGGCATGATAACCGTGGGGACAGCCCCATGGAAGTCTTATTGATGGTCGCATATGGAGAAAGAGGATTACTAGACCGCCCAAACTTGAGGATAATGACGTGGAGAAACGGAGCTCTCTCAGGAAATGACTTGGCGAGCAAGCCTGGATTGGGAAGTTCCAGGACCTACCAACCAGGTGAGATGCCTCTGCCAACCAAGCCTAGGCCTGGTTTGAGAAGAATGCATCAGGAGATGAACAGCGAGACTGCCTCGTCTAGCTCACAACTGAAAATAGCTGTGCCATCAAAGAGGGCGAGAGTAGAAGATCAGACGAATGAAACCATGCAAGACCTCAACGGAACAATAGAAGAACCGGAGAAGACCAGAAGGGAGCTAGATCAAGTGACGAAGACTATGCTCAGTGTAGAAGAAGACAGGGATATGTGGAAGAAACTATTTGAAGATTGTACCAAGAAACAGGGTCAAGAAAGAGAACGCTTGAGGCAAGAATATAAAGAGCAATCGGAACGGCTGGCGTTGACGTTGGCAGTGGAAAAAGTGATACCTGCAAGGAATGTTCCTCGTGGGCAGTCCCCGATAGAGCTCCTGACGCCTCGCGAACTAAGTCAGACAACGGAGGTGCGACCCGCAACTACGACAGGGAGAGTAACAATCTCGGACCCTAGTGATACCCTAGGTGACTCAGTCAGAATAGGCGACACGGGCAAAGTGGAACTCTCCCAAGAAACGATAAAGAAAACGGGAGTTGACAGTGTCACGTTACCAGTGAAGACATCTAGAGCCCCTGAGAGGAAAATAAAAGAAATGCAAATGAAGAAAGAGTCCCGAGTGTTTGACGTGCAGAAGAACAACCAGGTGAAAAATATTTTCACAGGAGTTCCGGAAGCTGATCCGCGAGCCTGCTTTAATCGATCGACCTAGAGTCCGCCGATAAACATGCAACAACCGCCGCTTGGGACATCTCATTTGATACTGGGTGACAGTTTGGTGTGAGTTCTCCAAACCTGAGAACCTCTTGGATCACCACGGTGATGGCCTTCTGAGGTGCAACGATAGCCCAGCTATTTCAAATGGTGGAGCTAATGAACCCAAGGAGGATCCCTAACATAATGATCCTGATAGGGACGAACAACGTATCTAGAGGCTCATATGAGGAAGAGGCACAATGGGAATTGATGATGGTGTGGAAGGTTTGCAGCAGATGCCATAAGGATGTTAAATGGAGCGAGACTATCCATCAACGGACTGTATTTAATCACAGGCGTGGACTGGTTGATAGCAGCTGGCATAAATTTCAGCTCCATAACCGCCTTGAGATTCGCTGATTTAGAGGGACTGCCCTCAAACAATACAATGGGTCCAGTAAGTGCAAGACCTTTGCAAGATTTGAAATTGAATCATGGTGAAGCAATCGAGAAGAAAGGCCCGGAAGATTCTTGACAACGAGGGCACCAAGGTCACGTAAAAGATAGAGTGTACCCGAATCAAGTCAGTCACTCAAGAAGGCGATGTTCAGAGATATGGTGGGATGAAGGCGATTAGGAAAGACCATCTTTGCAGCGTATGATAAAGCAGAATTGAGAAAAGCAAAGATTATGATAGTTGCGAACTCAGACTTCGTACATACCTCCAAGTCTCTGTTTTGGCCTGACGTTATAATGTTGGCAGCGGTCGACCTGGACCTAATGTAGTCGGTGTCAATGGCAATCGGGGAAAAACGACTGACGAAATTGAACCTGATCACGATAGTATTTGGCGGCAGAAATGACCATCTACACAGAAAGGGTTTCCTGAGCAGACTCAGAGAGCCGACAACGGCAGAAGACGCGGTATGGCCAGCGATGAAGGATATCCTCGAATCAATGGGTGAAGTAGTGGACACGCTGAAAGAAGGTACCTTCCCCAAGATAACACCGAGAGCCTTGTTTGCACTGTCGCCGGGATATGCACATCTCCCGGATGGACTGAAGTTTGTATACGCGATGCTCTCGGAAGGGAAGTATGATGTGATCATATCTGCCCCAAATCGCGGAATAGAGATGGAGAACCTAAGACCACTTAGCGCGGAATTACCTGCATTGTGGTCTGACATCTCGAATGCGATGCGAGGATTTAAGGAACATTCTTAGCACATGTTAGTGTTAGACGAATTACTGGGGTTGGAACTGTCCAACTTGAGCCGACAACTTAAACTAAAACCAGGAATTGACGATGACCATCGAGTAATTGTAGCGATGTCTAACAACTTATGGTTCCGAGGATTGGAAATAAAGGAGGAAGGAGGAAGAAGGAGGAAATCTAAGGAGACGAGATCTCACTTGGAAGCGATGGTCCTGAGAAAGAAACCAGAGGCTAACAAGTGGCTGCACCTGATCCCTCGAGTAGCGGCATTGGGCGCGGATTCTTTTGAGCAAGGCCCAGTAATGATCAGGAAGATCCATGCCTATTTAGTGAAGGAGGTGAACCTGGCCGAAAATGCTGAAGAGAAACCAGCCGAGTTCGTAAACAGAGTGTGCCAAGTTACCCTGGAAGATTTCTGGACACAGAATGTAAAGGGAGAAGAAGGCTTTGACGGGACTGACAGCATGCTGGAAGGGTTAGGAGTCGAATGGACCGCGCCCTTCTTGGCAAAACTTTACCCATCGTTTTCTCGATACCTGATAGAGCAGTCGTAGAAGTAACGATCGTTGAACTACTAGCCCTGTTCGTGACGTTAGGAGCAGAAAACTTCGTGAGAGGACCAGTGATACTGCTCACCGAAGGAGTGCAGAATTGGCGACTAGATCGACTTCGAACGTTAATTGCGATAACGCACGGAAACTTGGGAGGATTGATGAATCTGACACGCTACCCTGAGCAGATGAGGGAGAGCGTGAGGAGATTCGACGTGAAGCGACCCATGGGTTCCTGGACCAAGAAAGGAGATCTGCGACATACTCTTATCCATCATCTCCTGCAGCAAAATCGCTTTGGAACAGGAGAGGATGAGACGATTCAGATGGAGGCAGACGTGCGACGTCATGCTGGGGCATGCCCCTGTTCACTGATCTGAGCCTGACTATGAGGACCAATCCCTTAGCGCTGATCAGTTTGTGTTGGTGATATACGGACCTTATGGAGTAAGGGATGAAGAGCAAGGGCCCTCAAAATCAGGAAAAAGTCCAAGAAGAGACGATGGACAGGGAGGAAGCCGTCGACCGGAAGAACCTATGCAACAGGATCCCGATCAGGCAGAGAAAGAGGACGATAAGGCTCTGACAGGAGGGATGTCCAGCCTGGACTTCAATTTCCTCAGCGACTTTGAAAAGGGCACGGACACGTTGGAAGCGACGACTGAGCCGGCAGGCGAGTGAACTTCCACGTTGGAACCCCCGTTGGCCTTCATGGAAACGAAACGGAACTTGCCGGAGAGCAGATCTCCGAGCAATTCTAAAAACACCGAAAAGAAACTCTTAATGGAATCACCAGGGAGAAGAAGAAAAGAAGGTACTGCCAGAGTACCTCTCTTCGGAACGTTGCCGGAAGAAGAGTGGGAAGTGCATCATATAGACCACAAGAATAGGACGGGGTGTATTATGGATATAGTTGCCTTCATGGAAGAGGTCTAGACGGCAGTTTAGAGCTACGGGACACAGTATATGCTGAAAATAGGTCTCAACAGACCACCAATGCGGGAAGTCCTTGACAAATTCGACGAGTGTGAAGAGAGATTGAGCGAGTAACTGATTGACTCGGCCACTGACGAAAGTGAGGCAAACTCTCCTATAAAGATGACGTCGCAAGAAGACAAGGAAGAACTAGTGTATCTGTCAAGAACCCGGAAGGGAACGATGCGGTCAAAGATGATGATTGACAGAATTAATGAAATGAAAATGAAATTGGGCAGCAAAGTGACATTGAGGAAAGCTGGAAAAACAAAAGTGGATTCCGAAATCTCGATAAAAGCTGTCAACTCCAAAAGAAAACGCGTCGAAGAAGCCATGGACTTGGGACAGATTGATGATCGATTATCTGGCACTGACAGAATTTTGACTGACATAGCAATGGTGCCACCCATTCTCATGGCTGGATTAAAATCAGCCAGTTATAAAACCAAGAGGACTGACCGCACTCTGACAGCAACGTCAGAAATGGAGATACTCAGCCAATGTGGAGAGAGTACCCTACAAGATTTAAAACCGCCTCCCATGGATAAAGGAAAGGGAAGTGTCGTAGGACAGCTAATCCCAGTGGCATACAACCGACTGACAGTGACGGAAACTGTATCGATTGATGAACCCGCTGGTGGATACATAGAGATGTTGGAATACAGAAACTCGGCCAGAGGACACTGAAATGCTCTGGAAAACAAAAGTGCTATGGAAGATTATTTAGAGACACTGATGCAAGGCACAACCCTGA